TCCCTCCACCGGGCTCCACTCAGCACAGGGCTGCAAAGCCCCATAGCCCCAATAGCAGCAGAAGCAGAAGAGACACACACCCACGCACCGTGCCGTCACCCCTTCCTGAATCGGGCCTCACACGTGTAAGGTTGTCGAAAGCAACGGAGCTGTCACCTGCACGTTTCCAAGAGGTATCGAAGCTGTTACCCGTACGTTGCTCAGACGCATCAGAGCTGTCGCCTGCATGTTTCCCAGAAGCATTGGAATCGTCAACCTTTTTGAGTTCCTTCTCACTCAGTGGGTGATTGTACAAAAAGACATTGTTTACTGTCACACTGATGTTTTCGCCACCACCAAGGTAAAAGTGAGTGATATCATGCCTGCGTGCCTCACGGGTTGGTAGTGTGTCGGAACTCTCCACAAGCACGCCGTCCACGTACACGGAGCCCTTGTTGTCCTGCAGCATGAGCGCCACTTTGTACTCCTTCCCCGGCTCCCAAGTGCTGTTGTGTGTTGTTGTCGTGCCATTGAAGACTGTTACCCACCGCTTATCTGTGGTGTACGACAGCCCCACAAACTTTGTGTTTTCATTGTCCTCCAGGCCCGCACCCAGCAGAGGAATGCTCTCGTTCGGAACCTGATGAATCTTCACCGTCGCCAAAAGCGTAAACTCATAATCCACAAAGCTGTACATGTTGTGATACTTCCGCATGTTCACGGGCCACATGGCGTATGATTCGGACCCCGTGAACTCAAAGCCATCTTCGACCTTCTTTGCATTCGTCACAGTTGCATTCACGCAACGGTACGCGTCGTTCCAAGTTCCTTCACCAGATGCATCCGACAAAAATCCAACCAGACCGGCCGTGGGCACAGACGAGTTGGAGAGGAAGGAGTCCAGTTTTGCCCAAGTCTCCAAGACGGATGTGATCGTCTTCAGCTGCTTTGTTAGGGGAGCAAGAAAGAGACCTATGGTCGTTGTACTGATCCTCTGTTGTAAAAGGTGCAACGCATTGTTAGAGTATAGCACAGCGTGCTCAGACGTCCACTTCTCTGCAGTGTCCATGGAAATGGGCCCAACGTGAAACGTGCGGTTGTTGTCAGTGACCCAAAGGTAGAGCGCGGTGGCTCGCGTCTTCTCCCCAGGGGGAATCCCTTTCTGAGTGTACAGCATGACCTTCTTTCCAGCAATGGTCGCAGTGGTGAGGGACCCCACTCCCTCAGCTGTTCGCGAAGAGTTTGGTAAAAACCTGGGATGCACGCGTGTGAGTGTCCTGACAGCCACCGTCCACGTTGCCCCCATGTCCCTCGACTCGAACACATTGGAGAGCGAATTGCATTTGGCAATCATGACAAGCTGCCCCCGCTCCCACTCAACGATGAGGGGGTCAGTGCACCGCGGGGGGAGCATCCCATGTGGAAGCGTCCAATTTTTGCCGTCGTCCTTCGAATAAATGATCATGGAGACAAAGTCGTTGTCTCCTGTCCTCCTCGCCGTCACAGGAAACACAAACGTGCCATCCTCCATCACAACGCCTGAGCCACCACCACCTAGAAATTCCTTTAGGCCACGTTGTTTAGCAGATAGGCCGATCTGTGGCAAAAGCAAGGTGGGTTCGCCCCATTGGATGACTTTATCTTGCGTGGCCTCACCCACGAACAAACCAAGACCCTGTGAGACTTTAGTCCACTTCTTCGATAAAGGATAATACTTCTGATAAAAGTTTCCCACAAGTAGGAAGACCTTGTTGCCCTTTGCAATTGTTGTGGGTTTGTACGCATATCTCACACGGTTGTTATGCTCCTCTTGCGTGGTCATGTTAAAGATGCTGTACGCCTTCCATTTGTTTGCATGGACCTTAGCGACAAAAGACGACCAGTTCTCCGCATAGTCAATGTACCCCATCACACCATTAACATAAATGGGCCGAGGTTCTTCCTGATGGGCGTGTTGAGAGTCGCTGTGACCCTCGGCAAGTGCAACCAACACTCCACCAGCACTGACGAGGGAAGGTGAGACAAAATAATTCACTGTATAATTTTCACCTTTTGCCTCCACAATCGTTCGATGAGGCACAAAAAGATCGATACCCTCTGGCGGCTCCACG